TAGTGAGAATCTTGTTGAACTTCAATCCATATTGAAGGCTACAGTCCTTGACGTTCCTCAGTAAGTGCTTCAGATTCTCCTGTTTCAGTGAGCAAGGTTGTGTCATCTGCATAACGCAGGTTATTGATGAATCTTTCTCCAATCCTGATGCCACATTTTTTCCTCATAAAGTCCAGCCTCTCAGATGATCAGAATATAGCTATTCATAATCTTCTGATATTTGATTTAATTTCCGCTGGTTCTGTTGTGGTGTCACCATTATCATTAATTAAATGAGTTATTAGTATCTTCTCCTTTTTTTCTTTTAAGTTAAGTTTGCCAGTGGTTTGATAATTTTATTGACTCTTGAAATACTAGCTCCTGGTTTTACTGATGGTGTCAATTGTTTTTCTCTTTTCTATTTCATTGATTTCAGCTCTTGTTCTTATAATGTACTTTCTTCTAGAGATTGTGGGGTTAGATTATTGTTCTTTTTCTATTTGACAAATGTGTTGAGTTAGATCATTAATTTTGCTTCCTCCTTTATGTTTATGTGTTTTCCTATTGCTATGAACTGGCTCATGAGCACTGTCTTAACTGCATCTCAAAGATTTTGGTATGTTGTGTTTTCATATCATTTCTTTCAAGGAACTTTTGTATTTCATTCATTATTCTGTAACCCAATCATGCTCTAACAAGGTGTTATTTAGCTTTCACATTGATGGTTTTATAAGCTTTTTCCTCTTGTGGTTAATTTCTAGTTTTAAGCCATTGTGGTCTGAGATGATACTTTGTATAATTTCAATGTTTTTTAAATTTTTTTGAGGCTTGCTTTGTGGTCTAATATGTTACTAATTCAGGAAAATGTTCCTTGTGTAATTGAGAAGAAAGTTAATTGAGTTTTAGTTTGGTTCGGTACTTGGAATACACCCACAAGTCTGAGTTGGCTGAATATATATATTAGATCTTCTGCATCTTTGTTAAATTTCTTTTGAGTCGACTGATTCTTTGGTGAGAGTGTTATGTTAGTTTCCCACCACTATTATGGTACTATTTCTTTCTTTAATTCTGTTAACAGTTGTTTTATGTATTCTGCAGGTTTGTCATTTTGTGCATAGATGTTGACCAATATTTTGTCTTCTTGATCCACTGAGCCCTTAATCCTGATATAGTTCCCTTTCTTATTTTTTATGGTGGTTTTCATTCTGTAGTCTATTTTATCAGAGATTAGTATTGCCACTCCTGCTTTCTTATGGATGCCATTTGCTTGGTATCTTTTTTCCAGCCTTTGGTTTTGAGTTTATCTTTTTCTCTTCATTTCTTAGATGTATCTTTTTCTTATTTTTTAAAAGTTATTATTAATTTCAATGAAAATTTACAGAGACTTTGGATTTCCATTCATTCATTGTTGCTTTTTTCTCCCCTCCCAACCCTCCCCCCTAGTACACTACCCTCTTGGAAAAGTAAAAGAAAAATTCTTTCATTGTTTTACAATCCCTCCCCCAAGGTCCACTCCGTTATACAGCCTTTGTTCTGGACTCCTGTCATGATAAAAATACCTAATAACGTATCCCTCTAAAAGTTTTCTCCCTCATCTGTTTCAAAGCAGTATACATTATTGAACCCATCTTTCTCAGTCTCCTCCCAACCCCAAGGTCAGTCCTGTTTTACAACAGTGGCACCATGCAGTATTTGTCCTTTTGTGACTGAGATACTTCACTCAGCATAATGTCCTCCCTGGTCACCCATTTTGAATAATATTGCATGAGTTCCTTGTTTTCAATGCAGCGTAGTATTCCTTTGTGTAAATATATCACAGCTTCTTTATCCATTCGTTTGTTGATGGGCACTTAAGTTGTTTCCAACTCCTTGCTATTGTGAACAAAGATGCAATAAATGTAGGTGTGCATATATCTGCTTGGATGTCAGTTACGGTCTCCTTGGGGTATATTCCCAGTAGCGGAATTGCTGGGTCAAATGGTATCTCTATTTGCAACTTTTTGAGAAAGTGTCATACCGCCTTCAACAGTGGTTGCACCAGATGTATCTCTTATAGATACCATAAGGATGGAATTTCTTTTTTCTTTTCTTTCTTTTTTTTTTTTTTTTACCGTTCTCCTGCTCTTTTCCTCTTGTTTGGTGCATTTCATCCATTCATATTAAGTATAATTATTGACAGGGGACGTTTTATTGCTGCCATTTTGCTCTGTTTCTTTTGCTGTTGTTGTTTCTTATTACCATGGTCCATCCACTTTCCTTTGGTGTCTCTGTTTAAAAGACTTCCCTTAAAAGTTCTTGTAGACTTAGTCTTGTTCTCACAGATTCCTTAAGTTCCTTCTTTTCTGCAAAGAATGTGATTTCTCCTTCATATTTTATGTAGAGCTTTGCTGGGTACAGGTTTCTCAGTTGGCAATTGCTTTCTTTCAACTTTCTGTATATGCTATTCCATAGTGTCCTTGCTCACACGGTTTCTGCTGAAAATTAGAATTTAATCTAATTGCTTTTCTTTTGTAGGTAACTCTTTGTTTTTCTTGTGTTGCTTTCATTATTCTATCCTTTTCTTTTGGTGAATTTTATTATGATATGATATGTCTTGAGGTTCTCCTTTGTGAGTCTAGTCTATTTGGTGTTTGCTGAGCTTCTTGAATGTGGATTTTCTCATTGTTCATAGTACCTGGGAAGTTTTCTTTTAGTACCTCTTTCACAGTTTTCTAAGTGATTTCCCTATCCTTCTCATATTCTGGAATTCCAATAATTCATATGTTATTCCTTTTGATGTAATCTCTCATAATTCTAAAGCCTTCTTTGTTTTCTTTATTTTTCTCCTCTGATTTTCTTCTTGTATGTTTCCATTGAGATTCATGTTTCCCAGCTCGTTGATTCTCCAATCCATCTCTTCTCTTCTACTTTTTTGTTCTTCAAGCATGTTAGACAGTTCTGTCATTTTAATCTTCATAGTCTGGATTGCATTTTAATGCATTTCTGTTTTTTCCAGTACTGTGTTGTCTGTTCCCTCTCTATCTTGTGATGCTTTTTAAAAGTTCTTGTACCTCTTTACTATAGTTTCAGTTCTTTATCCATCTTTTGGATTTTCTTCCATAGTTGTGCAAGTTTCTTCTCGTCAATATATTTCTTCTGGCTCCGTGTCTCTGGAGCATTTTCTTTCTTAGTGGCTTCCATTGTTTCTTCCATCACTTGCACTTTCTTCTGTAGCTGTTCAGATAACTTTTCATCAATATATTTCTTTTGGTTGTCATAGGGTCGCTATGAGTCACAGGCGACTCGACGGCACATAACAACAACAACAACGTCTATATCTAGGTTATTCCCTTTTGTTTGTGCATTCCATTGCTTCTTCAATCACCTGTACTTTCATTCATAGCTATTCAAATGTCTCTGTAACAACATATATCATCTGCCTTCTTGACTCTGAGATATTCATGAGGTCTGCAGTATTCTCTGCTTTTTGGGAGAAGGCTTCACCCCCGGTCCCCAAGTGTTTGAAGCTGTCTACTTCTTCCTTGACATTATGTGAAGTTATTCCTTGAGAAATGTTAGGTTGTTTCTATTGTGTCTCCAAAAGTTGTTGTTGGTTCTTGTCTTTATGATGTTAATGATTAGTTGCCAACTTAAAAAGTTCAATCTATGGGGTGAGATGCTCACTCTACTCTAAGTCCCTTCTGGGAAAATTTGCCTTTTCTAAAGTCCATGAAATTCTCTCTGTTCTGCCCTGAAGCCTGTAGGATTATTGTCTTGATGTAGTGCCCTGTCTTCAACTCTACTGTCCTCCTTCATGTATGAAGTGAATAGTGTGAGATCAGGTGCTGTACTCAATCAATTTCTCATGCACCTTTTCTCATGAAGCGTAATGTCTTCCTTTGTCTCTGAGTGGCATGATATCAGAGATCAGGGCTGTCAGCTCAACCAGCTGGTGTGCAGGTGGGTCTCAAGTCAGCCCTCATTCTTGTAGGTAGCTAAGAAAATTCTTTCCTCTATTTGTAGCTCTATATCCTAAAGTCCCTTGTCCTGTTTGGCCCCTGAGATGCCAAGGATTACCAAAATGAGGGTCTTATATGCCCAGGGAAGTGTTAGTCCTTTCTCCCCAGAAGAAACAGAGAGTGCTTGTTCTTAGCATAGATCCTTACCTCTCTCACTTTTTCTCTGGTAGCTTAGTGTCTCACTTTGGAATGATGAGAGATCAAGGCTGCCAGTTCAAGCAGCATTTGTGTCTGGGTGTCAAGTCAGTTCTCTCTCTTACAGCAAACAGAGAAAAGTCTATCCTCTTTTTGTAGGTCCATGGTTCAAAGTCTCTTGTCATGTTTGGCCCCTGGGGTCACCCCAGAGCTTCAGAGGAAAGGATCTCCAAATGGAGGGATCTATATGCCCCAGGAAAGCCTCAGTCCCATCTCCCCACAAGCAATGGAGACTCCTATTCACAGAGGTCTAACCAGTTTTCTCAGTGTCTGTTCAGAATGTCCCCTTTGAGCAGGCAAATCTTCCACTAATAATAGCTTGCTTCTAAACCTGTTACAAGGCCAGGTTCAGGTCTGTTGTTCATAGCATCACTGTGAGTCAAAACTGACTCAACAGCACCTAGTAACAACATATATAAGACATTTCTTAATCGGATCTTTAGATTATTGATGCTATGTCATCAACATTCTCCTGACAATTAGTACATTAAAGCAATTTTCTTTTTTCACCAGGAAGAAGTTTTGACTTAGAGGTGTCCAGTTGTTTACTTTCACTTAGTTTGTCCTAAGGTATATAAATCTTTTATGAAAACCAATTAAAAAAAGTGAGAAAAAATAAATTGGGGGAAAAATCCTCCCAAAACATCCAAGATTTTGACCTATAGTGACCAATCTTTAACATCTCTTAAGATGCATGTTTTTTAAAAAATTTAAAAGGATCCATATCTCACTAATGATAAACAGTGAACATTTGATTCTGAAATCTGACATATCCACTAAAAGGTCAGTTATTTCCTGTGAAATCAGATGGAGTATTACATTATCTCACCAGTTGAAATGCATCATGAATTAGACCTATTCTGTCCTTAGGTCTAAGAAGAGTGTGGTTCTGATTCAACTGTGCAATTAGGTGGTCCTATCCATGCCCCTCATAATGAACAATGTAGTAGCCATTTGAATCCACATTGAATTTCAACCAACTGGGTTTTTCAGGCAATTCCAGAATGTCTAAAAGGGAGAAAATGGCATATTCATTTCATTATCAATGTAGACACCAGCAACAGCTCCAAAAAGATTAGTTGCCATACTATAATTAATAAATCAATGAGAAGATGGTCTTCACCTGACAATTAAGTAAATCCATGGGAAAATAATTGCCGAGTTTGTTCTGAAAACAAAACAAACAAACAAAAACACAACAAACCAGTCTATGCAGGTCTAGGAGACATGCTAGCATCCAGTAAACTAGTTAATCTGAGCAAGACTGGAATTTGGGTTAATTTATTGGTACCTGTGTCTCAAAATTGAGTATGATAATAAGAATAGGTGTATATAAATAGGTGATCTAGTTGTTCTGTCTTTACTTTGGGGTGAAATAAGGACTTCAAGTTGAACATGATTTAATGATAGAAACCCTCTCAATTTTTAGTCAGGTGCTAGAGGAGAAGTTAAATTATATTATGTGTCTGTTTACGCAAAAGGCATTATATTAGGTGGTATACTTATATTATGGTATTGTATCTCAGCAACTCTGTGAGATCTTGCTTCCATCCAAAATAAAAAGTATTAAGTAATGTTTTTAAGATCACATATCCGGCCTCTCCAAGGGAAATACATGAGATTTACTGACTCTGAAAACTTGCTGGAGGGTCAGCTGTGAGTCAGTGCTGACTTGATAGTATAGAACAACAGTAATATATTGAATAGGTGGTTGAATAAGGATTTGAACAAAAGTCCTGTTGATTCCACAGTGAGTGGTTTTAGTCTTTTATATATTTTGCCTTATAGAATAAGAGTTATAGTCTTCGCTTGCTCACTCATTCACTCATTCACTGTCATTTAGTAGAAATCAACTCAAAACTGACCCTTTTAGCAGGTTCTCAGAGGCTGTAAATTACACAGGTTATTGTTCTCCATCTTTCTCCCTTGGAAAAGTTGGTGGATTTGAACCTCCTGCTTTTCGGTTGGCAATGCAGCTTCCTACTCACTATGACACAAGAGTTCCCAAAACTGCTCTATTAGTAGGTACTAAAATACATCATTTCATGATGTGAATATAAACTTATCTTTAAGTGCTAAAAATATTTTTAAAAATCTTACACTAAAAAATAAAATAAAATCAATCATATTGCTGGAGAGTGGTTTCTGACTCCTAGTGACCCTATAAGACACAGGAGAGCTGTCTCATATAGGTTTGAAGGCTTTAAGTTTTTATAGAAGCAGACTGCCTCTTTTTTTCCACCTACAGAGTGGCTAGTAGATTTCAATACTCAATCTCTTGACTAGTAGATAAATGCTTAAATACTGTACCAACAGGACTCCATAGATAATATTTAAGCAAAAAGAATTCAGATTTTTTAGTTGAAGTCTTCATTTGGTAGGTAATAAGGAAAACTTTCTCAACATAATATTTTATTACATTTACTTACTCCTATCTTTTTTGAAATAGTACAAAATGTGTTCCATTTCAGAATTAAAATAAAATGCTTAGCTAATTATTTCATTACCTGTCTTTGACTTTAGAATATGTCTGTAAACTGCAGTAGAGGAACTCACGGAGTAGGTCAATGGGATGTGCCAAAGGTACCTATGTTAGAAAATAAAGATCATTACAAATTAAACTAATGGGCATTTCAACTTTCACACTGTCTGCCTCAGATTTTTTTTAAAAAAAGCATCTAATCACTCATAGTCTACACTCTCATTGGCCTTAGAATTTTTCAAGGTCAACATAATCGTGTACTGAAATCACAGCAAAAAATATTTTATGATGATTATGAAGGTATAACAGTACACCCCTGCCTGAACTCTGTCTGAGCAGACACCTGTGTCTGTTCCTGTTTCAATATCTGCTGTAAGTTCTGCTGCTTGTTTTTATAAATAAGAGTGAAAATATTCAATCTTCATTTTCCATATTAAAAAAAAAACTTTAACAGTCTAATGTTAATGGAAATAAGCAAACTAAAGGCAGTTAAAAGCCTTAAGGGATGAAGAACCTCCTCTATATGATACAGCTTTTTGCTTATTCTTTTATATTAAATGGGTAACCCATGAACTACCCTGTGCCCAAATACTGAGTGCAGGCAAGCCAAGGACTGCCACACAAAGGAGAATAGAAGAAAAAGCTTCAGTTACTCCTCACTAACCCTACTAATCTGAGCAATAGAAATTGGCTTTCCCTCTCACTTCCAATTTTCTAACAATCTGTAAAGTAAACTTTTCCTATCCATATTGTCTCTCATTGTCTTCAACTCAGCCAATCCATAGCTGACTCTCCAGCCTGTTTCTGTGACTGTTAATTGCACTGGAGGAGATTACCTATCTTTCTCCCATGGAGTTAATGGTGGATTCAAACTGACAAAGGCATGGCCTTTGAGTTAGAACCATAGCTCCTACAGATTGTGCACCAGAGGCCCCTCTATCCATAGTAGCTGTAGTAATCCAATCTATGTAAAATCACATTAACAGAAAGACAAAAGAAGAGCAATTAAGGAAATTTCCATTAGTCTTCAGGAAAATGCAATAAAAATAAAATGAAATAAAGGGACAGGAGAAAAACCTCTGCAACTCACAAAAGGCAGTCAATTAACTAAGAAAATTCAAAATAATCATATAAAGAAGCAAGCATGGATATATGATATAGAGAAGGAAGGAGTTTTTCCAGATAGACAAATCTACAAGCAGACAAAAATAATTAAGAAATAGCTATAAAATAGATAATAATAAGTTTCTGAGCTGTCTACATATTGCCTATGTAGACGAAAAACTAAATCACTATGTATATTTATTACTCAAGATAATCCACAGCTTTACACTCTCTCTCATTATATGTAATAGATTCTAATATTGTGAATCCTGTTTTCCAAAGAATGAATCAAACATAAAATTTTTCTGGCTCCCTCATCAAACAACAAATTGTCTAAGCTCTTTGAGGTATAAACTTCAGATGTATGTATTCATATAGAAGTGTCATAAAATGGTCTTTCGATTGGAAGCAGGCAACTGATAAAGCAAAAAGGAAAAACTGTATGTCATGTGTTGAAGATCTTGAAAGCGTTAAAGACTGTGTGAATTAGCTTTTGATTTCCAGAAAAATTACAGGGTTGATTATTAAATACCCAAATTATCTGAAAAAGAGAAACAATGATCATTAGAACCAGCATAAGTTCACTTAGATAGTTTCACTTTAAATTAACCTCATTTTCTCTTACTAGTGTTAATTGAATACAGAACTAAGGACAGTGTTGTGTTTTTCACTCTAGTAAGGTCTTTAATAAGATTCCTCATGACAGCCTGGTGAACAATATGTGACTCTTTAGTTAATTGAATTTACTTTCATTACTACCAAAGACATCATATGCTTTAAGATGTTTTGTAGGATATTATTAAAAAACAAAAGGCAACAAATGGAAACTTTACCATGTAATTTATCATATAAAGCTTATCCTTTCTCTGCTAATAAGATACCTTAATTTTATAATGCTTCCTAAGATATGATTCAGTCACTCATACTAGATTCAGAAATCCAATAATGAAGAGTCTATTTAAAGCAAACTCAATCCACTGCCAATGAATTGATTCAAGTTTTAACATCCTTGCAGGACAGAAAAGAACTGCCCATAGGGTTGAAGGGAAGTAGATGGCAGTACTAACACCATTTTGTCTTTCATGTAACTGAATCTATGCTAATGATTTACTATAAATTTATCTCCTTAACTAGGATATAAATCTTGGAAGTTGTGGAACAGGTTGGCGTTAACTCTGGACAATATCTCAGGATGTCTGAACTGACAGGCAGAGTCAAAGCCCTAAAGCTTCCAAACTGATGAAATGATAACCAGCACCAGACAAGACATTTAACACAAATTTTAATTATGGGACATCTGCGACCCTACTGATTACACCCCTCTGCCTTTGTTTCTCTTTCCTATATACTGAACACTTGGTAGATAGAGGGAGTTTGGGAAACCTTTCTTGAAATGCAGCTTGCTGTGCTATTGGTTTTCCCTGTTGTATGTCTGTCGATCTGTCCATCTTGTTGCTGTCCAGTTGAAACCAATTTAATGCTCATTCTTTTTCATTGGGTTTCTGGGGCTATAAATCACACAGGAGGAGATTATCTGGCAACCTCAGAGCTGCTGATAGATTAAAAGGGACAGAGAGGGGGAATTTTGATTAGGGCAACTGCCTGTGAACCACACCACCAGGGATACCTTCTCTGTTGGATAAACTTTCTAATAAAGGTTCTTGTCTTTGTCTCTCTTTTTATTTGGAATTGTGAGTTTCTGGAATTTAAACATGAGTTTGAGGGTAATAGGATTTTGAAGGCTGTATTCGTTTTTTAACTGTTATTATTATACTAGTTTATTTATAAAAGTTGAATACATTGTTTTTCAGACCAAATTATTCCAATTTTCCTCACACCCCCCCCCCATCATTTTGTACAACCCCATGATTATTAACCCACATTCTTTATAGATGCAGTTTGTCACATCTTTCTTCTGTGGAGCAGCCAGTGAGTTTGAACCACCAAACTTTTGGTTAGCAGCTAAATGCTTTAACCACTGTACTGTTAGTGCTCAGGAAACATTATAATAGAAATATCATGAAATAACTTCTGAATCAGAACACGGGATTAATAGGAATAGGACTGTTGAACAAAGCAGTCTCAAACACTTAAAGCTCTTAAAATCTGTTACCAAGGCTGGTTTAAGCCTTTTATTCTTATGCAGGAATGACATCCCACAGAGTTGGCAGAAGAACTGAAAGGAAGTTAATGAAACAATAATGAACAAATCAAGATGAGAAAAACTAGACCAAAGAAGAAAAGCAGTCACCTTTCTTGCAGGGCCCCCCATTCAGGATCCTCTCTGAAAACGCCCTTGAGAAAGCGCTCCTGGTGCAATCTGAGCGAATTCCCTTCTTGCTTAACCACCACAAGGGGGATTCCTTTCTGGAGAGTCCATGTAGTCATCATCTCTTTGACTTCAAAGTTCTTGGCCAGGAAGTTGAGCTGAAATGAGAAATGGCCTTGATAATTCAAAGGAGAAGGGGTAATCCTAAGACTTCCAAAACTTGAACCCTAAATGCCAGAAACAAGGCATGGGAGCAGGAGTGGAATCCAGGCCCTGGCTGTAATATCAGGGGAGAACAGTGCAGGCAGGGACAGCTGGGTTCTTTTGGCCTCTACACTACATTCTCTTCAAGTTAACTGAAGGAGATTCACATGTGGCAGGAAGGTCAAAGAGAAAGACATGGGGAGTGGCTGAGCCTGAAACCCCCTCTCCACACCTCCCCAAAGAAAACTCTTCATCTATCACTGTAGCAGTGAAACCTAAGAGATGTGAAATGTCTGCCTTTAAAGAGGTTGTGAATATGCCAACAGGACAGTATTACACCAGTAGAGATGTATATTGAGCAGAGAACAAAACCTTCAGCTTCTCAGCTTCTAGAATGGATTTCTGATAACTATATAATGCAGCTCCTTCCTTTATAACCCATTATACAGGATCTTCTCAAAGTAGCTTCTTCTCAACAACTAACAACAATTAACTTAGAGCATTATCATGACTCTTTTTAAAAAATTGGCTCTTTTTAAATTCTGGTTTATGTTTCTCTTCTACAGTAACCCAGTAATTCCTCTGAGGTAAACAAAAACAGAAAAGTCATACAGTCTGGTTCTAAAACCAACAATACATTTGACATGACATTTTTGAGAGCCTAAGGGAATGCCGAATGCAGCAGAAACCACTCAAAAAATAATTTTGACTCTTTCGACTGGAGTGCACTTGTAGAAAAGCATAATTTTCAGAGTAGAAAAAAAAAATAGTAGGGACAGCCCCAGTCCTCTGTATGGCTTGAACTTGCAAATTTATTCTCTGGAAAACCATGGAGTTGTCTTCCTCTCCAGTTTTTTCAAGGGAGCAGTAGGCTACTGTAGAAATCATTCTCATTCTAGGTCAGAAGGATGCACTGGAGCTCTATTTGTACTGTGTACTTAGCTGCCTTCTTGGAATCAGAATAGCAAAATCCACCTGATGTAAATTCACCTTCTAAACAACTCTATAAAAGAATAAAGAACACCATCATGTGGGTAATAAGAGTTGGAAAAATATTATATTATTATACATAAGTGCAAATGTTTTTAAATTTTTTAATTATGTGTGTGTGTGTGTGTGTGTGTGTGTGTGTGTGTGTTCCGTCAAATCAGGTACAACTGGTAGAGGAGGAGATAGCCAATCCTTCTCCAGCAGAGCATCTGATGGGTTCGAACTGCATGACTCTGGGTGCAAATAATTATTCATATAGCTATGTGTAAACTTAATACTTAATTCATCAACAAAAAGTGAAAATGGGAAATAAAATATCTTTGTGGTGACTGTAGGAGGAAAAGGAAGCTTTGGTCCGTAGAGAGTTGCGCTACTAGTTCAAAGGTGACACTTCACTGCAGGTTTGAATCTACCAGTGGCTCCAAGGGATAAAGATAGACAATCTCTTCCAGTGTCAGTGGCAGCCTCAGAAAACCTGCTAAAGGGTCAGCCATGAGTCAGTTTTGACTTGATGGCAATGAGAGAGACATAAGATTTTCTGTTTGGTTTTTTAAAAAAGATAGTGTTGTTGAACTAACTCTTTAACAAATAGTGCTGGCAAAACTGGACATGTATCTGCAGAAAACTGAAACAAGATTCACATCTCACTCCATACACAAATGCCAAATCAAGATGGATCAGTGACTGAAGGAGTAAAACCAAAACCAATAAAGATCATCGGAGGAAAAAGTAAGAACAAATTTAGAAGTTCCAAACTATGGCATGAATAGGCTTTCAAACACAGCCAAAAATATACAACCAGAAGAGGATAAAATTGACGAATGGGACCTTCTATATAGTATACCCCTGTGTGCATAAAAATATTTTCCAAAAGGCTGAAATGAAAAGCCCACAGACTGGGAAAAGTATCTGGCAATGATATTTCAGGCAAAGCATTCATAACTAAAAATCTACAGACTACTATAGTGCCTCAACAAGAAAAAGATTGGCAGTATGGACAGAAGACATGAAAAAAAACTGTTCACTAAGGAGGATATTCAGATACCCAACAAACACACGAAGAAATGCTCAAATTCACTTGCAGTTATGTTGTTGCTGTTCGGTACCATCAAGTCAAGTATGGTTCATGGTGACCCTGTGAACAACACACCTGAACTCTATTCTATCCTGTGCCATTTTCACCAATTCTGACACACTTGTGCCCATTACTGCAGCCACTGTATCAATCAACTTTATTGAGGCAGGCAGTCTTTCCTCTCTCATCCTGACCCTCTGTCTTTCCTAGCATGATGCCTTTTTCCAAAGAATTGCTTCTCTGAGCAATTGAATATCACATGGACTGCAAAAAGAACAAGCAGATATGTCTTGGAGAGAACGCAGCTAGAGTGCTCCCGGGAGGCAAAGATGACAAAGGTATGCCTAAACATACTTTGGGCATGTTGTTGTAGGAAGGGGGGCTATTTCTTGGAGAGCAATATCATGCTTGGAAAGGTGAAGGGTCAACAAAAGAGCAGAAGACCCTCAAGCAGATGGACGACACAATAGTCTTCATGAAGTACACAAAAAGCAAACATTCTATCTCCCTCCTCATTTCTGCCACCTAATCCCTACTTTCTGACTACCATTCTTACCACATTATTTCCAAATTTTCCATTCCAATCATCAGTAATTATTAATGCATATTGATTGCATTTTGATCAATTTTGGACTGCAAACATTTGTAGAAATATTTTATTTCTTCCTGTTTGGTTTTAGTTGTTACAAATCAACAATGACATAGCCTTTCATCTCAGCAACAATAGTGGTTTAGCAGGACAACACATAATAAATATCAGTGAAAAAGCTGGGCACTCCCATTTACTCCTGGTGGGATTGTAAAATGGTACAACCACTATGGAAGACAGTTTGGTATTCCCTCAAAGAGGTGAAAAGAGAAACCGCATATAATCCACATATTCCACTACTGATAATATACCCCAAGGAGATCAGAGCTGAGACACAAACTTAGATATGTATACCAACATTTATTGCAGCATTACTCACAGTAGCAAGAAGATGCAAATAGCCCATATGCTCACAACAAACAAATGGATAGAAAAATTGTGGTACATTCACATAATGGAATAATACCATACTGCATTAGAAAACGAGAACTAGTAAAACACTCCACAGCATGGACAAGCCCAAGGGACATTATGCTTAGTAAAAGAATTCAGCTACAGAAGGACAAATACTGTATAAGACCAGTACTGTGAACATTGGAGGTGGGAGGGAGAGCAGAAATAGATGCAGAGACAATGAACACTGTAAAGGATCAGGGTGAAAAAGGATCATCCTGTCAAGAATGGCTGAACTGACAACATGAATACTGTAATTAAAACCCATAACAAACATCATGGAACACTTTAAGTGTTAGAAAACTGGAAATTGTTAAAAATAAAAGGGAACGCATGAACATCAATGTACTGGACATTAGAGAGATAAAATGGACCAGCTTTGGCCACTTTGAATCAGATAATCATATGGTATACTGTGCAGGAAATGAAAAACAGAGGAAGAACGGTGCTGCATTCATAGTAAAAAATGTCGATTTCAAATTCTATCCTGAAATACAATGTTGTGAATGACTGGATAATATCCATACGCATATAGGGAAGACCTGTTAACACTAGCATTCAAATATATGTTCCTACATCTGGAGCCAAAGGGGAAGAAATTGAGAATTTTTACCAAGTCTAGTAGTCTGAAATTGACCAAACATGGAATCAAGATGCATTAATGATAACTGGTGACTGGAATGCACAGGGCAAAACAGCATTATTAAAATCACATGTAAGCAAAATACTGCTGAAGATTATTAAAAAAAATTACTAGAACAGTACAGAGATAGGAAATTGCCAGAAGTCCAAGTAGGATTTAGAAGAGACCATGGTACCAGGGATATCATTGCTGATGTCATGAGGATCCTAGTAAGGAATATCAGAAGAATGTCTATTTATGCTTTATTGACTCTGCAAAGGCATTTGACTGTGTGGATCATGACAAGCTGTGGCTGACACTGAGAAGAATGGGAGTTCCAGAGCATTTAATTGTGCTCATATGGAACCTATACCTGGACAGGGAGGCTATTGTGAGAACAGAGCAGGGGAACACTGCATGGTTTAAAATTGAGAAAGGAGAACAAATCGATATGTGTTGGAGAAGGTGCAGCTAGAGTGCTCTTTGGAGGCAAATATGATGAGGCTCTGCCTTATACACTTTGGGCATTCTACCAGAAGGTGCTGTTCCTTTGGTAAGGACTTGATGCTGGGAATGATGGAGGGTCAGTGAAGGAGAGGAAGACCATCAGCCAGGTGGACTGATACGGTGACTGCTCCAATGGGTTCTTGTGTGTCAGGAAGTGTGAGGATGGCACAGGACAGGACTGGTTTCAGATTTTTTGTTCATAGGGTCACTATGAGTCGTACTCAACTTGATGGCACCAAAAAACAACAATAACACAGCTAAGACCTTGGAATAGAACATGTTCAAAGATGGAAGGGGAATGGGAGAAAAAAGAGGAAGAAGATGACAGAGGGAGGAAAAGGGGAAAAATTACTGGGGCTGCAGAGATTAGAGAATGGATGGGTAGGATAAAGGAAAGGCAAAGTACAGGTAAGATTTGAGGAGACCTTGTGGTAAAAGGTATTGGTCAATTGTAATTACTGTTTCAGGATATAGTGTATATGAATGTTTGAAAGAGAACCAATGAAAATGTTTTTCCATTTCTAAAGAAGTTCAACGTGTTGGAATAGACATTTTAGAAATTTAAGTGCCTTTGTGAAAGTGTTGAACTTTCCTTTAGTTTCTTCTCTTAGGCCTGGGAAAGGTCCTACTTAATTCTTTTATTATATATGTTACTTGGGCCTCTATTTGGAATTTGAACAAGTCTGTCTAGAATTCACTTTTTTTTTTCTATCAGATATAATCAAAGTTCCTTTGCAACAGGGCAAATACCTGTATTTCTGTGGATAAATACTGCAAAAACTTCCACAGTAGTGTTAGTGCACAAACTGAATGGAATCCGAGAAAATCAACTTGGGTCCCACCAACCCTACTCAAAAAAAAAAAAAACCAACTTAAAACAAAAAAAGTAAAATGCATAAGTCTTTCCAGCGTTGTTACATGCCATTCAGTTGGAACCGACTCATAGTTGACCCTTCAAAGAATCAGAGACTGTAAATCACACAAGAGATTGTCTATCTTTCTTCATGGAGCTGCCGGTGGATATAAACTGCATGCCTTTGGCTTGTCAATGTGAATCCTTACCACTAAGCCACCAGAGCTCCCTATTCAAATGGTAGTGAATAGTTTTTTGAATAATAGCGAGAAAGTACTGTTTGAGTCCCCAAATTTCTATCATCATGTATTAACTCTATGTGACACAGTAATGAGTATCAAGTTTTCAGGAATTTATTGTTTTTATAGTATGGTGTCACTTGGTGTCAGAGGGAGTCAGCTAACTCTAGGAGTTAAAGGAGAAACCCTCTTGATAACTAGAAGTGATGGAGTTGAAAGGCTGACTACAAATCAGAAGGATGGAAGCACTGACCTAATATGTCCAGGACTAGAAACCTTCTACTTTGTTGTTAATTCCAACTCACTATTCACTCATCATTCATTGGCAAGTGACTCTTAGTCATATCTCAGCAGGAACTGACTCATAGTTGACCCCCAGCATATTGTCGGAGGAGATTGTCCATCTTTCTTCCTTGGAGCAGCCGGAGGAGTCAAATGACCTGGATTTGAGTTGACAGTGCAGATCCTTATTCAGTAGGTCACCAGTGCTTCCTTTGACTCATTTGTTTTACTCTTGTATATCACAGAGTTCACTGTCTAGCTCACAGATGCATAGCAATTGATTGAAAAGAACCATGACCTGAATGAGGCACACCTTTGTCTTTAAACTGACGATGTCAAGTCACACACAGTGACTTATTTGTACTACAAAGTAGAACTGTCCCATAGGATGTCCAAGACTGTAAATCTTTACAGAAGCAGACTGTTGCGCCTTTCTACTAAGGAGCAGCTGGTGGGTTTGAACCACTGACTTTTCAGTTAATTGGCTAATACTTTAACCACTGTGTCAGCAGACTTCTTTACTTGGTATATGACGTTGGTACATGGGTAAATCATTCTCTTTAAGTTTAGTGCTCTTATCTGGACAATGGGGTAAAATTATAGATTAAGTTGTGTCTCCTAATATCTCTATTAAAGAAGTAATGTAGTGCACAATAATGTAGTGCACAGCTTTGACCTCCAGCAGCTTCAAGGAAAAAAGATAGGTTGTCTTTTCTTACCAAGATTTACAACCTCAAAAACCCAATGGAATGTCCTTTTTGAGTAGCAGCAAGTCAAGATTTTTTTGAGTGGGGTTGAAAAAGTCCTTGGCTGTTAACAGAAAGGTAGTGATTCAAACCCAACCAACAGCTTCACAGGAGAAAGACCTTGCAATATGCTTCTGAAAGATTATAGAAAAGGCAATTGTATTTTGCTACATGGAGTCTTGATGAATTGAAATATGCTCGGAGATATCTAACAATCACAACAAAACAGTTATTGGAATCCTAATGTCTCTATGTAATTATATTTAAAAGTAATAGGGAAAAAACTGAGTATGGTGAATTCCAAATCTAATCATCTTTGGTTTATAACTAGAACAGATTATATATAGGCATGTATGCTCACATGTGTGTGAGCATGCACGCATATGCATACATAGGAGAAGATAAATGGCATATGAGCATTGTCTACAGGTAAAATGAACTAAGGGTCACTGGCACACAGCGGAGGTGAGGAGAGTAGCTCAAAAAAGGAACTGACTTTATTGTAGAGCATGCACAAGGATTCAAGGGGGGCTGTTTAAACATAGGGTTACATAATTTGATGGGTGGAGGGAGGGATGAGTAAAGGAAAGGGGAAAGGTCCAGTGTGAAACAAAATGTATATGAACTTCACGAACTTTGTATGTAAACCAGTATAAAATTATTACCTAACTTGAGAGGGACTGAAAAGCATCATGCTGAGTGAACTAACTCTGTCTCATAAGGACAAATACTGTATAAAACCATTACTATAGAATGAGCATGAGAATCCAAAGGGGGGGGAAGCAGATGGGTGAGGAAGTACAATGAGGGGGAATTAATCATGGAGTCATACAGTTTGATGGCGGATGAGAGAAATGGGAAGGATATTATGTGAAAAATAATATATTTGAATTTTGTGAATAAACTACTATGAAAATAAAAAGGACTGACGGGGCCAAGAGTCTGGGTGTTTGCCTTATCTTCTTGAGATAGTTATAAGCATGGTGTGCAAACACTAACAGAGGACTGTTTATAGTTTGATTACTCCCTCAAATGAGCTGGGAAAATAAATCCTGTAATTGCAGGCCAAATTTACCATTTAATTACTTCTCATTCTATATAAAAGAGGCCTGGTGACCTAGTTCACATGGATATTTCAAGTATTAGAAACAAATGTACACCAAAAAGCAATGTCTTCTCATTGTTGTAAAAATGGGAAGATAACTAGTAAAATGAAGGTGCAAGGGTTACGGGGGGGGAGAAGAGGGGCTGAGGGGGGTTCTGAAAAGATAGGGTAATGGTGGGTATAGATTAATGGTGATTAATTTTATAAAACACAATGTAAAGGAATGATGGCATGAAACACATTGTGAACAAAGGAAAGTGTGAAACAATGTATATACAATTTTTGTATGCAAACCAATTTAAAATTTAATAAAAACTTGTTGGGGGGAAAAAGAGACCTAATTGGTGTTTACACACATACACACACAACCCTACATACAGCAACACAGAGGGACAAGAACAACAGGAAGCTAGGTGCTAAGAGATTTAGTGGAAACCTCAGAGATGGAGTGTGACCGAAAAGGGTGGTGAAGAAGATTTTCCCAAGTTTTACTAAGACTTTGTATTTTGGTCCTTTTCACGACTTTCAAGAAATTCAAGTAAGAGGTTTCAGTTATTTTTGAAATAATATCTGATTTTCATTCTTTATTTCTTTAACCAGAAAAATTACTCTTAAATAGTACTGTCTGGGTTCAAGCTTTTATAAGTGCACAGTCAGACGAGATGATGCATGTGAAAATGGCTTTTTTTGTTTTGTTTTTAAAAAATTTATTTTGTGTGTGTGTGTGTGTGTGTGTGTTTACCGTCAAATCAGATCTGACTGGTACAGGAGGAGATTGTTCCTCCTTCTCCAGCAGAGCATCTGGTGGATTTGAACCGTGCACCTCTGGCGTTGCAGTACACCTTCTTGCCCCTAGGCCACCAGAGCTTGCCATAAGCGAAAATGTTTTTTTAAGTTTTAAGATGCTGTATAAATGTTGAACAATATTATTACTGCCTCTGGGACATAAATGCTTACAAAGAAGTGAGGACCTCTTCTAGCTAAAATGGCTAAGTACTCTTATCTGAAATCACAGATTCAAACAGTCTAATAATTCTGTAAAAGATTACTGTTGAAAAATTTTAAGTATTTTAATAACTATTAGAAACATGTAATGTCTACATGTTTTCTGCTTTGCCTTTCCTGTTGTAGTACATGAATTCAGAAGACTAGTGACTATGGATTCTTTAATCAATCATTAAATATCACTATTATACAATCAATACCATGCTAGTGTAATGATACTTTTTTTAAAAAAGCATATTCCTCTTATTGTTGTTGTTATGTTAGAAGTGAACACAGTTAAAGAGGATATCACTGCCTGGGACAGATGGTAAATATTCAGCAGAGAGAGAAATCAACGAGGACTGAAGCAGCCTGATAATGAAAAAGTGAAAGTGCAGGTGGCTATCCTCTGGCAGAGTTTGAATTGTTTTCAAGACATTTCAAGTAGGAAACACAAGTGAATATCGAGCAAGATTTCTTCTTGTGAAGCAGAGACTAGGTTCATTCAATAGATCATCATACTGGGGAATAAAGCTAAGCAGGAAATCATCACATTATATGGGCAGCAGTATCATCACATGTATATTATATGGTGATTGTTGTTATGTACCACCGAGTTGACTACGACTCATAGTGACCCTATGCACAATAGTTCTGAACCTTGCTCTATCCTGAGCCAATCTCACTGTCTCTGATAGACCTACACTTTCTACCCTAGTTATTGTGTCAATTCATCTCATCCAGGGTTTTTTTTTTTCCTGCACTGTCCCTCGACCCTTTGAAGCCTGATATCCTTCTCCAAAGATTGATCCTTCCTGGCTACATGCCTAATGTAGGAAATCTAAAGATCTTGGAAGAGGGGAAGCTAGAAAGGCATGATAAATCATAGATGAAAACTCAAAGAGAGAAACCTCAAAGGGAGAATGCCTTTCATCTTAGGGTCCCTGGTAATGTGCTTAGTTGTTAATTCAAAGCTTAGAGGTTTGAATCCACCCAGAGGTATCTCAGTAGAAAGACCTACTCTACTTCTGAAAAACCAGTTATTGAAAACTCTGTGAAGCACAATTCTACCTTGACACCGATAAGGTTTCTATCAGTCAGGTTCTATGCAATGATGACTATATTTTTGGTGGTTATTCCAGTACATGGGGATGACTTACAAGTCTAAATGGTGCCAGAGGAAAAGAAGGTTATTTATTTTCTTTATGGCCCCTGGAACCCTTGATAATGGGGACAAATATTTTTGTTGTGTACCATCCTGTCAGAATTGATCCATAGCTGACCCTCCTGGAGGTTTTCAGAGACAGTAAATCCCCAATAGGGGATTGCCTGTCTTTCTCCTGCTTTGAACCACATACCCTTGTACTGGCAGCATAAAATAGGATAATTTTAAAATTAATTGGTTTTATTTTAGACTTAACAGCAATCTACTGTAACTTAGCATACAACTTACATTTGACAAACTATCCCACAAATCATCATTCTTAGCATTTCTGTAACTGAACTTCTTTAGGTAGTGAATTATTCCTTCCCGGAATTTCTCCTCACTCAGGAAATCCTTGAGCATATTCAAAATACAAGCTCCCTGAAGAAAAGAAACATGATGGGAGAAAAGTAATATGTTTATAAAGGAAGTTGAACATGTATGATATATGAAAAATTGAAGAGCAAATTAGAAGGTAACTTAGCACTAACAACTGTTGTTTTTACAGGTCTAGCGATGTATCTTTTGAAAGCAGAGCTTTACCTGCACATGGCATTTACTTACCTTGTTATAGGAAACCACATCAAACATTTCCTGTATTTGAGTAGGAGTTTCTGCTGGATTGGAGATAGGGCGAGATGAGTTCAATGTGTCTTTTTGCAACTGCTTCAAAGCATACACTCAAAAAAGAATCGTCCTAAACAGAAAGGAGAAAAATTGTTCAGTTGTTCACTTGCTATTACCCACTTTCAAAGCAAGAGAAAACATGCTAAGCTTAGTAAGATGTCATTAGAAGTAAAGAATCAATTAATGTTTCTTTAAAAGGTGTCCTTTCTCTTTATATATTTTCCTTTCCCCAGTTGTCTACCTCATAAAGTTAAAACTCCAATAGTCCCTCAGATATTGCCTCAATGTTTTATAGTACTCAAGCAGTTGGAAATAAAAACAAAGCTTTCCATTTAGTGAATATTCGTTATGTGCCAGGACCTTATATCCATTGCCTGCAATCTTTTCAACACTCCTGCAAGGAAAATGTACTAGACATATTTTGCAAGTGAGCCTATATGAAGCTTTAGGACTAAACAACTCAGTGACTACACAGCAAGAACACAAGATCTAGTAGTCATGGGCCTTACCATGTGAGTGTATACGGACAGTGATTTTTTTTTCTTTCTCATCCCCCCCCCAAGTGTATATTTATACTAATTTGCTCTTTCTTTTGAGGGAAGCTTTTGTGTTGCTTGTTTTGAAATAATCAGTGTATCTCCCGGCTTTATGATTTGTTTCGTGTATCAACTCTAATACCCTTTGTTAAAAAAATACACTGCTACATTGTCTTCTTAATACTGACTAAATAGTTTAACAATAAACTGATAATTCCTTAGAATATAGAATATATGCAAAATTACAAACTTACAAATTGTAGTTCTGGATATGTAGCCTTTATAGAGACAAGCTCCATGTATCTTGCAAAACCTTCGTTGAGCCAAATATCATTCCACCAATCCATTGTAACTAGGTTGCCAAACCACTAGGAGGTAAATTTAAATTTTATTAGAAGTTTAATGAATATAATAAAGATTAATTTAGGAAGAAAAAATTCCTCCCTTTTTACTACTCTTTTCTCTTGTACATCTTTTTTTTCTACTTGTTTCTTTACCTTCTCATTGTCCTCACCAACACTTCATTTCTCTGTGTTGGTGTTTTGGGGTTTTTTTGTATTGGTCCTTGTTGCCCCTGTTTGTCTAATTCACTCTAGCACCTATTCCATCTTCCCAACATTTCCTAAATATTGTTGTTGTTGATGATTTCATCGAGTCGAACATAACACATAGGAACCGTATGAACAAAAGACCTGAAGCCTTTCTGTACCTATTGTCATTTCTCAAATTTCATAGAGTTTTCAGAGCATGTTGTTTAGGAAGTAGATGCCACTCCTGTTTGCAATTCCTAAATATTAGGTTAAGTAAGAAACGGAAATCTCTTATTGGATAGTTTTTTCTTTTACATAATGAGAATAATTTTACCTTGATTTATAGTTATGGCCTGAAGATAAAGATAGGCCAAATTTCCTTGGCAAGGCCATATTTTAATATTAAGTAATAAGTACTTAAGAAAACCATAAGAATTCATTTAGTGCTCTCAGACTATTACATAATAGTATTGCTGAGCAAATTCAGTGTTAACCTTTGCCCTTACTTTCTTAGAGAGATTAATTTTGCCACTAAAGGTGTGTTAAAGTTCAGAGATCTTTAAAAAATGTGAATAAAATGCAGAGATTCAGAAGAATAGTCTAAATAGATACCCTTGACCTACATTTAATCTGCAGCATATATTTTATTTCTGTATTACTACTTTTGCATTAAAGTGTTGGAGAAAAACACTGAGTATACCACGGATTTTCAAAAGAACAAGCAAGTCTGTCTTGGAGCAAGTGCAACCAGGGTGTTCCTGAGAGGCAAGGACGGTGGAACTTCATCTCACATACTTTGGGCATGTTCTCAGGAAGGGCCAATCCTTGGGAAAAGCTATCATACTGGGAAAGGTAGAAGGTCAGTGGAAGAGAAGACCTTCAACATGACGAACCGACAAAATCTATTGGGAATCTTCCAAATGTTTCATCTTCTGCCATGTGTTATAAGGACAAAGATGTATATACTATAGCCACCTTCCAGGACAAATTATGGAGATGAATTGGTAGACAAATAAAATGCAGGCCAGTGTAACAGGTGCTGTGTTCAATATCTGGGCCAGAGACAAAGGGGATTCCAGAAAGAAATGATCAGTTCTGCTGCAAGGATATATAAGAATTTCAAGAAATTATTTATTATGTAAGTTTTGTAACTATCCACCAGGAGTAGTCTGTGCTCAGGGTAGATCAGACAGCAAGAGCAAAGGCATGGAAAGGTGACGCAAACTGGTGTGTTAAGGAATGGCAGATAGTTTGGAAATGAGACTGGAGAATTAGGGTGGTTTTGGGTCATGTGACTATGTTTTAAAGACCTCTGCTCACCTAGTTTTCACTACTGAGGTCTCGTCAAGGTTTTACTTAGAGGAATGGTCATAGGAAACAAAGAGAAAGACAAAAGAGTCAATGAAAAAGAATTCAATATGGTGTTTCAATCATAAAAAAGGAACTATGCAAGTAAAGCCCAAAGGGAACACAGAAACTAGAGATTAAAAGTCTCAGACATGGGGCAGGTAAATAAGGAACCCTCAGATTTAATTTCCCATGTACAAGCAAGATCCTACTGAAGATTATACAAAAATGATTAGAACTGTACATCAACAAAGAACTGCCAGATGTGTAAGCTTGGTTTAGAAGAGGTTATGGCACTAGAGACATTATCACCAATGTCAGATGGATCTTAGCTGAAAGCAGAGAGTACCGGAGGAATGTCTGTGTTTCATTGACTATGCAAAGACGTTTGACTTTGTGGATCACAACAGATTGTGGCTAACTTTTAGAAGAATGGGAATCCTAGAATACTTGTTTGTGCCCATGTGAAACCTATACTTGGACCAGGAAGCAGTCCTCAGAACAGGGCAAGGAAACACTGAAACTAAGAATAACAGAAGAACATATGCCTTTGAGTTGTGCTAGAGAAGAGTCTTGAACATACACCATGGACTGCCAAGAGAACAAACAGATTTGTCCTAGAAAGGGTGAAAACAAGTTTCTCCTTGGAGGCAAGGAGTTTGAAGCTCCATCTCACATACTTTGGGCACATGACAAGGAGGGAACAGTCCTTGGAGAAGGACTTCATGCTTGGAAGGGTGGACAGCACAGGAGAGGAAGAACTCAGATGGGATGAACTGACACAATAACTGGGATAATGGGGGTAGATGTGAGAGAGAGAGTGAGATTGGCTCAGGATAAGAAAGGGTTCCGAACTGTTGTACACAGAGTAATTATGAATTGCAAGCAACTTGACAGCACATAACAACAACAGTGCCTAGTAATTTAAATACTTGAAATGGGCTAGTAGGAACATTCTGAACCAGAGGAAGCAGCTTGTAGGTGATCAAAGTACTGAACATGGCCTCCTAGGCAAGACGTATTTAGTTAACTGATTTTAAGACAAAAAGCAAGAAAACCTTCTGATTATGATGATAATAAATGATAAAGTGAAAAATTTCAAAAGGTATCTTTACTAGATGTTACAAGGGAATCATCATGATAGGTAATGAACAGATTGAGATTAATAGCTTTAGTTGGCTTGGCTCCACAATCAACACTCTTGGTACCAGAAGTCAAGAAATTAAAAGACAAATTGCACTGGGAAAATCTGCTGTAAAGGACCTCTCTAGAGTACTGAAGAGCAACGATGTCAGTCTGGAGACTAAGGTGTGCCGGATCCAGGTAATGGTCTTCTCAACTACTTGCTATGCATCAGAAAGCTGGACAATGACTAGGGATGATAGAAGGAAAATTGCTTCACGAATTTGCGTGTCATCCTTGTGCAGGGGCCATGCTAATCTTCTCTGTATCGCTCCAATTTTAGTATATGTGCTGCTGAAGAGACCATAGCTGACATCCAAGCAGATATATGCACACCCATGTTTATTGCAGCTTTGTTCACAATAGCAAGGGGTTGGAAACAACCTAAGTGCTCATCAACAAACGAATGGCTAGAGAAGCTGTGGTATATTCGCACAATGGAATACTATGCTGCATTAAAAAACAAGGAACTCATGCAATATTATTCAAAATGGTTGACTCTGGAGAACATTATGCTGAGTGAAATATCCCAGTCACAAAAGGACAAATATTACATGATGCCACTGTTGTAGAATGGGACTGTCCTTGGGGTTGGGGAGAGATTGAGTAAGATGGGTTCAATAATGTATACTGCACTGAAACAGAGGAGGGAGAAAACTGTTTAAAAGAGATATATAACTAGGTATTTCTGTCATCACAGGAGACTAGAGCGAGGGCTACATGGTTGAGGGGATCTGGGGGAGGGTTTGTAAAACAATGAAAGAATCTTTTCTTTTACTTTTCCATAATTTTTGGACTCATGTACTTATAACTTGTTAGTCAAATTTGTGTCTTCTAGGTTGCAACACCCCCATGATACATCTTCAAGGATATGAACATGTATGGCCAAGCACAATCAATAAGAGTGCATCTAAATTCCAAAATCAATCTCCATAATAGTCTATGTGTTTCCTACTGCCAAAGGGGCCCTTTAGAGTAGTGAGAGAAGATCTTCACCCTGAAACCCACAGCGTCCCTTTTCAGCAGGAAGTAGCTAAGAGAATACGCCATCCCTTTTTCCTTATGACTCAGGTGAAGTCTCTCTCAGGGAGGAGTGATAGGGAATGGCAAAGGACACACTGACAAAGATTAATCAGAACTGGCTTTGACAAGCACTGTGGCATTTGGACAAGAACAAACTGGGAGGAGGGTGGAGAGAATAGTGCAACAATGAATGAATGGAAACCCAAAATCTCTGTAAATGTTTATGAAAATTAATAAAATATAATTATAGGGAAAAAAAGAAGGAAAATTGATGTCTTTCAGTTTTGGTCCTGGAGAGGAGTGTCGAATATACCATGGACTTCTAGGAGAACAAACAGGTTCATCCTAGAGAGAATGAGACCAGGCTGCTCCTTGGAGAAAAGGAATCTGAAGCTCCATCTGACAAACATTGGACATGTTGCAAAGAGGGACCAGTCCTTGGAGAGAAACATCATGCATGGGAGAGTGGAAGCACAGCACAGGAGAGAAAGACCCTGGATGAGATGGACTGACTTAATGACTGGGGTGGTGGGAGTGTGTATGTCAGAGACAATGAGGTTGGCACAGGGTAGATCAGGATTCATAGCTGTTGTACGTAGGGTTACCATGAATCTCAAGCGACTCATCGACACTTAACAACAACAATAAAGGAATATTATCTACCTACATGGTGAAAGATAATTTCTTTGTTTTTACAAATTTGCTGAGTTGCTAGAAATTTTCAGAAAGAAAAGAGGGTAGATATAGTCTGCTGTCTATAGACCTCATTTTACAAGTCCATATTCACATGTAATACAATGTTGAGTACCTTTTTCAGCAAGAAGTGGTAGCAGTAGACATGAGCATTGTCATTGGAAACTAACAATTATCAAGTGCTTACCCTATATGACAGGCACAACTACCTGTCCATTTAACTGGAAAAGTTCCATATATATGTGCTCACTTGAAGAAAAAGATAATTCAATAGAAGACAGAAATTATTGGGTGATGTCAACAGCACATCCCTTTTCTGTAATACTCACAACAGTTTCATGAAACAGGCACTATTATTAAATTCATTTTATTGATGACAACTCTAAAGCTTTTAAATTAGGCAGTATCTGAAGGTTAGGCACCCTGTAAGGACTTGGACTTTGATTACTTCATTATACTGTACAATCACAGCAGCTTTCAACTGAAAGGAGATTAATTTTGCTCTGGACGGGGAAGCTAGGGAACTAGCGGGTAAAAGGAAGAGATACCTTTAATAGACATCTTTGTAGGATCTCCAGTCTTGTGCTGTGTACATCTGTATAGCCCCACCCTTCTTTTCTATAATACATTTAAAAAATATAGTGATTACTCATTTTTGATAAATTTTCAGTATGGATTTCATATTTCAGAGATCTAGCCTTTTCTTAAGTGATGTGCTGTATTCTTTCTCACCTATGGTTCCCTCTAAAGTAAACAATGTGATTTTTATATTGTTTCAGGATTACCGAAGTGGTTCTCTATAAAGCTTTTTGGGGCTAACACTCAGAGAATTTCATGGAGCACCAATTACCTGGTGTGCTAATTCATGGGCTATGACCTTGGTAACCCACAGCTTGTCAGAAGCAGAAGAAGTCTTAGGATCAAAGAGTAACGATGTCTCTCTATAAGTGATGAGGCCCCAATTTTCCATGGCTCCAGGCTCAAAGTCAGGAATGGCAACCAGATCTAAGAAGCAAGAGCAGTTATATCTGATCACTATGTATTCCACATAAGAAACAGGCCTTGTGGCTTCATCAAATATGTTATGATCACCTCATTTAGAATATACAAGACTTTCTGACTACATTAGAACAACTAAACACTGACGTGGTGGCTTATATTAGACTAAAATTGTCCATACCCTTTAACAAGCAGAACAAATTCAATGCAGTTTTGAATACAGAAAGCAACACATGGATGTTTAACTGTTTTTCTTCCATTCTAATGGTGTTTGACTGTGTGGAACACAACAAACTGTGGCTGACTTGGAGAAGAGTGAAAATCCCAGAACATTTGATTGTGCTTATGTGAAGCCTATACTTGGACCAGGAGGCATTCATCAGAACAGAGCAAGGAGAAGTTCCACCGTCCTTGCCTCTCAGGAACACCCTGGTTGCACTTGCTCCAAGACAGACTTGCTTGTTCTTTTGAAAATCCGTGGTATACTCGCAAGGAAAGACTGATTGCACCAGTTACAGGAAAGGAGGCAGCAGTTCCAACCCATAAGATCACCGTAGTACATGCTGCACAAGTCGGTATGCATATGCTATCAGTGTTCTGGAAAAGTCTCAGGCTGATGGACTTGCTCTTGTGAATGTTTTGGAAGACAAGCTCAAAGGGGAAATGATTGGTCTGCCACACAGGAGCTTATTCCTTCAGACACTGAAAAGAATTGCAAATAAAGATTACTCTGTGACAGCCAATTCTAAGACTGCAGAGGTAACTGCAGGAGTTTGTGAGCAAGGAGGAGAGTTGATTCAATCTGGTGCAGAGGAATGTTACTGTCTTCAACAGAAATTATTGGGTGATGTCAACAGCACATCCCTTTTCTGTAGTACTCACAACAGTTTCATGAAACAGGCACTATTATTAAATTCATTTTATTGATGACAACTCTAAAGCTTTTAAATTAGGCAGTATCTGAAGGTTAGGTACCCTGTGGGAAGCTGGTCTGTATGAGGAGGAATGTGGTATCATGACGGAAGGCTCATCAACAGCCCACGTTATGCAGATGACACAAGCCTATGTGCTGAAACTGAGGAGGACGTGAAGCTGCAGAAGGTCAAAACCTGTGGCCTTCAATACGGACTGAAGCTCAACATCAAGAAAATGAAGATTCTCACCATTAAGCCAATTGACAGCATTATGATAGATGACAAAGAAATTGAGATTGTTAACAGCTTAAGTTTGCTTGGCTCCACAATCAACACTCTTGGTTCCAGCAGACATGAAGCTAAAAGATGAATTGCATTGGGAGAGTCTTCTGTCAGGGACCTCTCTAGAGTACTGAAGAGCAATGACATCAGTCTGGAGACTAAAGTGCACCTGATCCAGGCCATAATCTTCTCAATTGCTTGCTATGCATCAGAGAGCTAGATGATGATAGAAAGAGAATTGATGCCTTTGAGCTGCGGAGCTGGAGAAGAGTATTCAAGAGTATACCATGGACTGCTAGGAGAACAAATGGATTCATCCTAGAGAGGGTGAGAGCATGCTGCTCCTTGGAGGCAAGGATTCTGAGGTTTTGTCTGACATACTGCGGACATGTTGCAAAGAGGGGTTGACCCTTGGAGAGGGACATCAGGCTTGGAAGGGTGAAGAGATGCAGAAAGAGAGGAAGACTGTCAATGAGATGGATTGATTCAGTGACTGGGGTAATGAGGGTCAATATGTCAGAAACAGTAAAATTGGCACAGAATAGAGCAGGTTTCAGGGCTGTTGTACAAAGGGTCACTCAATGGTCCATAACAACAGCAAGAAGGAACTGTGTTGAGATACACTCAACTCAATGACATTTAACAATAACAACAGTGGTGCTGGAAAGAGTTCTGGTGGCCTAGTTGGTAAGGGGTTGGACTGCGAATCAAAAGACAGGTGGTTTGGACCACCAGCTGCTCCAGGGGAACAAAGATGGGGAATCTTCTGTGTGATTTGTAATCTCTGAAAACTTACTGGAGGATCAGCTATGAATTTATTTCTGTTCAACAGCAATGAAAGAGAATGGTGCTGAGCTCTGAAAATATTTTGGCTGCATTATGGCTAAGAAAAGAAGATTAAAACACTAATGTGGTATGGACACCAATGTGTTTAAGAATCATCAAAATTTTAGGGATATATAATAAACTCATTTGTGTTGTTGTTAAGTGCTTTTGAGTCACCTGTGACTCATGGAGACCCTATGTACAATAGCCCTAAATTCTGCTCTGTCCTGTGGCAATCGCACTGTCTCTGACACACCCATCCCTATTACCCCACTCACTGAATTAATCCACCTCATAGAGGGCCTTCCCCTCCTGCGCTGTCCTTTCACCCTCCCAAGCATGATGTCTCTTTCCATGTCCAGAGTATGTCAGACAAAGTTTCAGAATCCTCACCTCCAAGGAGCAGCCTGGATTAACCCTCTCCAGGATTAATCTGTTCGTTTACCTAGCAGTCCATGGTATATTCAATACTCTTCTCCAACACCATAACTCAAAAGCATGAATTATCCTTCTATCACCCCTAGTCATTGCAAAAAGAAAAAAAGAGAAAGAGAGTTTGGGGAGAACATCCTTTAAAAAGAATCTCTATAGCTGATATTTCAATCATATACTGTCTTCTATATGCAGAACAGAACATACGGGTTTTATGAGGATGAATGTTTTATCAGGATTGGAGAAAGACTTATTAACAACTTGTGTTATGCAACCTTGCTTGCTGAAAGGAAGGACCTGCAATACTTGCTGCAGAAGGCCAAGGATTGCAGTCTTCAATATAGATTGAAGCTCAATATCAAGAAGACAAAGATTTTCACCACTGAGCCAATTGGCAGCAACATGATGGATGGAAAAGAGATTGAAGTTGTTAACATTTACAGCTTGCTTGGCTCCACAATCAATCTTCTTGGCACCAGCAGTCAGGAAATCAAAAGATTAATTGCACTGGGAAAATCTGTGGTCAGGGACTTCTCCAGAGTACTGAGAAGCAATGATGCCAGTCTAGAGACTAAGGTACATTTGATATAGGCCATAGTCTTCACAATTGTTTGCTATGCATCAGAGAGCTGGATACGACTAAGGATAACAGAAGAAGAATTAATATCTTTGAGCTGCGGTGCTGGAGAAGAGTCTTGAACATACCATGGACCATCAAGAGAGCAAAGGGCTTTGTCATGAAGAGGGTGAAACCAAGTTTCTCATTGGAGACTAGGATTTTGAAGCTATGTCTCACATACTTTGTACATGTGGCCAGAAGGGACTGATCCTTGGAGAAAGATATGCTCAGAAGAGTGGAAGGACAGTAGAGGAAGATTCTGGATGAGATGGATTGATACAGTAGCTGGGGCAATTGGGTTAGGTGTGTGGGAGTCAATGAGACTGGCTCAAGACAGGGCAGGCTTCACAGCTGTTATTGTACATAGGGATGCTACGAGTCACAGGTAATTTGAAAGCAAACAACAACAACAACATCTTCTATAAGGATTTTGGATTTTATAATCAGCTAAATTGAAAAGTTGACAGTTTGAACCTACCAAGCAGCTCTATAAGAGAAAGCCCATTCAATCTGTGTCCTTAAAGATTACAACTAAATAAATGCTATGAAACCTAGTTATACTCTCTAACACATTCAAGTCACCAAGAGTTAGAATCACTTTAATTGATGACAATGGATATTTTTGTTTATTTTGTTTTTAATGTCCTTTGTTATTGAGAACACAGTCTTCCAAGGCAGTAGAGGGAACACTCTGGGCATCAATTCTTTCTGATTTTGGAGAGGAGCCCAATTTCCTTTCACCATCAGTATCTCTTCAACCTTCTGTTGTTGTTGTGTGATCTTGAGTTGGAGTTGACTTATAATTGACCCTCCAGCAGGTTTAGAGAGCCAGTAAATTGTGCAGGAGGAAACTGCTCTTCTTTATACCTCAGAGCAGCTGGTGAACTTGAACTGTGTACCTCTGTGTTTGCAGCACAATTGCTTATCACTAAGCCACGGGAGAAGGATGGGCAATCTTCCCTAGAAGAGTGCCTCTGAAAAGGCAGCGGGGGTCAGGTATTGGTCGGTTCCAAATCAATGGCAATCACCAACAACAAGCCCCTGGAGCTCACGTCTATCCCTTAGGAAAGTGAAATACAATCATCTTTCTTTCCCTACACTATGATATTAATTTCCTTTTTCTAAGGGCTTCTATTTGGAAGCAGGAGTGACATCCATTTCCGTAAATAGCTTGCCTCCAAAAACCCTATGAACCTGGAGAAAGGATGAAAGTCATGCAGGTGTCCAGGACTTTCGTTCAAAGGGTCGTTGTGAGTCGCCAACGACTTGACGGCACTTAACAGCAAACAACAAGGGCACCTATTGAAAACTTAAGCCAAGTATGAGCTTTAATCTTCACCCACTCCTGATCACACGGTGCTTAATTTCCAGGTAGTGTACATAAGTGTATCTACTGGGTAGATATGACACAGTTGAAATTACACTTGGTGATCTGAGGAATAGTGAATTTGAAGACATTAACATTCCTCTGCACCAGATTGAATCAACTCTCCTCCTTGCTCACAAACTCCTGCAGTTACCTCTGCAGTCTTAGAATTGGCTGTCACAGAGTAATCTTTATTTGCAATTCTTTTCAGTGTCTGAAGGAATAAGCTCCTGTGTGGCAGACCAATCATTTCCCCTTTGAGCTTGTCTTCCAAAGCATTCACAAGAGCAAGTCCATCAGCCTGAGACTTTTCCAGAACACTGATAGCATATGCATACCGACTTGTGCAGCATGTACTACGGTGATCTTATGGGTTGGAACTGCTGCCTCCTTTCCTGTAACTGGTGGAATCAGTCTTTCCTTGTGAGTTTTTATCGTGCACAGGAGAGAGCTGGTGCTCCAGAAGGCAGGAACAACGGTGCAGAGAAGGCAATGTGAACTTCGTTGGTCTTGGCTGGCACAGGATCTCGAGATACAATTATCTTTAAGCAACTCAGGTATAACGTAT